TAAGGCTGGTGTCAGAGTGCGCGATCCGTCGCAGGTTCCGCTGATTTTCGCGATTTGCGCGATTCACGCGAAGCCTGCGATGGATCGCAGGAGTTGGAAGTATACAGTTACGGATACAGTTTGCGAGCATTACTGGCTACACGAACAAAACTTGCTTCATATTTATTTAAGAAAGTAATTACACACATTGCGAAGAGGTTCGAACCACAGCTAGCGAAATGTGTCGAACAACAAAAACGAAAGATAGATTGAGATACAAAGCTGAAATCTCATGTGCAAATCGTCTCCTCCAGTTTCTACTGTCTGAAACCTCTGTTTCCATAACTTCCACGAATATTTACTGGGGATCTGAAACAAAAATCTTCGTAATAGTACTATTTTATAGAAAACCCGTATGATGGCTTCTCAACTGATAAGACTAAGAACCATATGCATTCAAGCACGGGAAAAGTTACCTCATCAAAGGATTGGAACTCATATTTCGCTGCTGATCGAAGCCAGAGATTCCACCCAGAGGCCGAGTTGGCAATGATAGTCCCGCTGTCAGTGGACGACTATTTGGCGCATTCTGCAAAACCTGTCAATATTCAGGATATGTTTTATTTAAAACCCCTACCAAAGTGTTAAAACGATATACCACTGACACCCCCTCTAGGCGTCTCAGAAAATGAAATAAATACAGTGTAAATTCGATATGTACCAACTAAAGCACCTTCCAGCAAGAGGAGAAAGTAGAAAAAAATGCCAAATTAAGTGCTTAATAATGGTATCGGGAAAATATCGACAAATAATGACAACTAGAAGTTTCAGATATGCGAGCAAATGAGACGACGATGGACGAAGGCGAGATTGTTTTCATAAAAACATGAAATTTACCTATTATTAAGGACCCGCTCACACTCATAAGAAACAAATTTGATGTGTAAGGTTGCATGCTATTCCCATGTAAAAGCGTTAATTCATATCCGAATCACAACTCAGCGAAAACTCAAACAGTCAGCACAACTATTCAAAACAAACAGGCCAGCAAAACTAATTCTAGCGACCAATGCATCCGTGAAAGAGCAAAAACCAATTCCATGTAAAAGGGTGAATCGAAGGGAAGTACGTGGAAAGTAGAAATGACCAAGAAAATGGTAGCTAGAAGGCTGTCAAAGATAACAGTTTTTATAAAATGGGCTACGTTTTATTGATCAGCTTCAAAAAGACGAGGAATCATGTTAATGGGAATTTTGCACCATCATTTCAGCTAACGGCTTTTCGAACGTACCGAACATCTTGCTGTACAACGTTTGTATTGAGTTGATAAAAAAAACGTAGCGTTTCAGTCGTGCTTCTTTCCTTCTGTGCCTGATTTACGCCATACAACCGAGCTATTCGAAGGTCCTTTCCACCTTCTTGTCATTCTTGAACTCTTTCCGTAACTCGACTTTATTGAGTTTAAACTGTTCTCATAAGTTTTCAACGCGGCGTATGTCTGTGTCAAAACGCTTTTTTGGTTCAGCGAGCAACTTCAGCAGGAATCAGTTTTGAAATGAACTCAACCCATTCAACACCGATAATCGTTTTCTTTTGCTGGCATTTGAGCTCTACACTCAAAATATGCAAGTATTGCATGCCAAAAGGTGCGAGATTTTACTTGCTCTCAGACCCGACAAAACCATCAAAAATATAATCAATAAAAATTCGAGAAGCCATCAGCCGAACAACGGCGGTAAAATTCCGGCCAACTCGTGATGACTCTATAATCCCACGAAGAGGTGGAATAAGATGCTGCTAACTTCATTACTCCATAACTTCCATAAGGACATACAAAATCTTTCAAAAATACAAATCTTCACTTGAATTCCATGAATTACCTTGAGATCGTTCCTCCAGCTTGTTGAACTCGAGGAACTGCCACTGCCAGTTCTCCACGAATCACTAGGCGGAGCCACTGGTCGACTGTATGGCTTACTAGATTCACGACTACTAACATTTCTCCAGGATTCCCAACGTGGCTGGGTAGAAGATGGTGGAACAGGAGATGGGAGAGAGGAAGAGGGGAGGGTTCCCTTTTCTGGGATTTTTGCGCTTTCTGATGATTTGGAAGGCGCCACAGGTTCACCACCTTTAAGTAAACTATCCTTGGAACCACTGCCTTGAGAAAGTTCAAGATTTCCATCCCTTTTCGGCGCACGGACGGGCTCTTCGAACAGAGCTCTCATTATCCTGAATTAAATAGAGATAAGAAAAAGAGCTAGCCCAGAAATTAAAGGGCAAGCACGTGATTTGTAATAATAATGGAGAATTTGATGAGCATGTTAAATTGGGCAGAATATTCACAGCTCTTGGAAATGTGGACCAATGTTTACGACACTGAAGGCACTGCACGTCGGGGATGTAAAACATCGATTCGATTCAAGTCAGCCGTCGTGACGCTGGCGACGCCGCTAGCAAAAACTCGAGAAACAGTAGTATAGGACACAAGCACCACAAACTGACATATCAATGCATCATCCTGAGAATGCCGACGGGTAAAGGCTTCTCTTCTCTAAGAATGCTCTGCAAGCAGCTGACATCAATACGAGACGAATGGATCCCGGTAGGAAAGTCGACGAAACAAGAAATTTCGAGATAGGCTACATGCAAACCGAGCACGACACTCTACGCCAAATAAATATTCTACCAACTCTTTTATCAATTCAATTCTCTTCCCTCCGGTAACTGACAGCATGACAAAATGACGAATGGCGCGACAGTTGATTCTATTCGATGCTGGATGAGAGAGAACTTGAGCCAACCAATAACCGCAGAAAATCGTTAATCTAAGGAACATCAACGGAATCGAACAAGATGAGGAGATCTGTGTAGGTCGAGCGTATTTAACGGTGAAATCTTAGCTCGCTATTTATCATTTCGACGTCAGAAACCTTCACATAATCCGCTTCTTTCATTGTGCCTAGATAGACGTTCCCATAATAAATGCGGAATCGTAGGCCGGCAACAACACCACTTAAAATCCACTGGACGAAAAGCTTGAAATCGGCGAAAGTTGAATCGTGAACGATAAAAAATCCAAAAACGTTAGAACTCCGACTGAACGATGAGATATTCGAGACTACAACCGAGACCGAAGAACTACTGCGCGACTCTGCCATATCAAGAGTCGATGATTCCCTTTTAGATATAGTGTATGTTTAGGAAAACGTCGAAATACAGAAATGAAAAGAATTGTTAATTTGAACAAACAACTGATTCGTCGACAAGCTTCTTATAGCTGGTGATGCGTCGGCTAAAAGAGAAGATCCTCTCGATTCACCGGCTGGATCCTGCATAGCTTTCACCACATTTAAAAGCAGTTCGTAACCTTCCTAAAATAGGCTAGAATGAAGGCGGTTTGTGTATGAGTGTCAATGTGGTAACTAACTTTATCCTCACGCCTCATTCTTGCCAGTTCGCTCTGAATCTTTGCAATCTTTTCCTGTTCATCACGAACTCTCCCCAACTTTGCCTGTTCGACAGGATCGCTTTTTTCTAAGAACAAAAAAGCATTGAGTGAAAAACCCGAATCAAAGCTTCGCAAAACCACCTGGGGTTTCTTCACGCGGCATGCGACGTCCAATTGTTGACGAAAAATCGCTAGGCACCACTGGAGAAGGTTTTTGGACGGGACTACCTTTAGGGATGACAGTCTCCATTACTCTGGAATAGAAAGATTCTTAACATCATTTATAATTTTGGAAGCATATTTCAGGTGCTAGCACATAACTTTTAGTGTCCAGACAAGTAAATCAACATGGTCACCGTAAATATGCACATTTTAAATAGTAAACCATGTTTTGGGATCTCGATGAATTAATAGAAGAAACATGTAAGTTGAATTTGGAAAAGGGGGGGGGGTGAAAAATGTAGGGTAGGAACATACTGAGCAATAAGCTTTGTGAAACCGTATAGGGGGAGCGAAGAACAAGATAGACGAAAGGAATACATATAAAACCGAGTCAGTGAACTGAATACAATCTCCGGTGGACCTTCTGGAAAGTTATGCAAGCTTTCTCGCCTTCACCACCTTTTTTACTCCCCTTTCTTCTGCGTATTACAATACTAAAGTCATATTCCATACCGCCCAAATCTGCACATCTTTGAAAATTTCAGAATGTAAGCCGAACATATTTGAGAAACATTATTCATGATGTTCCACTTGGAAGCACTAGATAACATTGAAAGTTTGAGTGAAGCTCAACAACTTAGTTTGCGTTTATGAAACTACAAAAAGAGAAAATAGAAAAGCAAGTAAATCAATCAGAAAAAAACGTTATGGAACCTCTTCATCACGTTTGCATATCCTCCGCCGTCCGGTCGAGCTACGGAGTCATCACGTCTTGACCAAGAATCCGACGCTGAAATGGTTGCCTTACTCCAAAGACCTTACAGCTAGACGGTGAAAATGTAGTTCGGAGGGGCCACCCTATCTAATCAAGGTAGAGTTGCGGGAAAGCACATTATATCTTATCATCTTTCACTGAGACCGTGACCTACGACTAGTACACTTACCCTTGTCATATTATTCTATGGCTAAAATGGCTGGCTCTTCACTTCCACCAAACCTTCTTGCGACTGCCATGCGAGCCCTCGAAGAAAGGACCTCTCAGGTATCCGATTTTGTATGGAATCTCGGGTTGGTATCCCTATCTAATCATACACTCAGAGACTGTGTCTGGATGGTGATTAGATATGACCGCCCTTCCGCAGCTCCACTTCGATTAGATATTGCCAGTTCGATTAGATATTATGAGTGCTCCCCCGAACTACATTTTCACCCAGCAAGACAAAAGCACGCACCTGGACGTAGAGGTTCGTTGGTCCCACTTGAACGTAGGAGATTCGCTGACCCTATTTGGACGTAAAGGTTCGGTGGCAGTTCTCCACGTTTCAGACGCTCGTGCAGTGGGTACATATTGACGGTCCCTCAAAATAAAGCATATAAAGACTCTAAGTCATAATATAAGCAGAGAAGTTCTGAGAATGATAAGAAATAGATTACCTTTCCGTGGGTGAGAATATAGCTCGATTTGGGAAAACGTCGGAGTTTGAGGTAGAAGAAGGGAGATATGGAGATCTTGTTGGTGGACCCGACGCGTCATTCTGCAATTCATTTATTCGCACTTCGAATGAACTTCTGCGTATTCGAGAAGTGACATACCCTAACGAATTTCTGCCTCGGCTGGTCCGGCGGAGCCCAACCGGCATGTCTTCGAATACCGGCCTCCCGCATATTCTCAAAACTAGAAACGCATCTCACAGAAAAGTATTCATAACCCACAGCTCAGAGTGACATACCCATGAACGATGGAAGTGATGGACAAGAATTCTATTTCTGATTTTCTAGCTTATTTTCGCATATTTTTAGATATTCTTTACGTAAGACGTAACTATAGGCCGATGTCAGACTTTGCGATTGTGCGATTGTGCACCAATTGCAGGAGCGACGGGAGATTTACACCGCCGACCACCGATAATTCGGCGCCATCAGCTCGTAAATCTCCCGTCGCTCGCAGCTCCCTGCCACAACGGCCAAGGAGGCACATCACGGCCCGAGCGATGGATCGCTTGAGCGATCCGTCGCTCCAAAGTGCGAGCGACGGGAGATTTACGAGCTGATGGCGCCGAATTATCGGTGGTCGGCGGTGTAAATCTCCCGTCGCTCCTGCAATTGGTGCAAAATCGCTCCAATCGCAAAGTCTGACATCGGCCACAGATGCGATGCCTCCTCCCCCTCCTCGGAAAGCAGCGTATATTCGAGTTCTATAAGAATTTGTCGAAGATTCCAAAAGCTTGCTCCCGACTATGCGTGACTTGCGAGAACTAGCATCATCGCCTTCTGCACATGCCTAGCACGCTCATAATCATAAGGCTAGGCCCAACCTAAAGTGAATAAAGGGCTTACGGGTGCGAGGCTTCACGAAGCATCTGTCCCTAAAGAAGCGGGTCCAATCGATTTCGAGTGCCTCGCGATCAAGAATTGCAAAAGGGAATCCCTGGGGATACTAAGGGATCGCGGTCAACTCAGATGGGGGTAAGCCACTAGCGACCGGCGTATGTTACAGTTAGGGTATGCGGACTCCTTCATTATCACCAAGTAAAGCCGAAGACCCGACCCAGTGCTTAAGGGCACCTGATACAGGGCCGCCAAAAGGACACTAACAGGGCCTTCCATAGCTGAATCATGTCTTGGCGTTTAGAGTAACAAAAATGGAGAACGCACCTCGCTCCATTCTGCGGGAACCTCTGCCCATTTGGTCCTCCACGCTGCATCTGTTCTATCTGCTATTAATTGCGACTGCGAGTGGAAAAAACAAAACTAAATGCACACAATAAATCTCCAAGTCATGGTTGGCACAAATCATGTTCGAAAATCACCAGGACAAAAAACAACGTTGTGAAAAACTGTTTTCAAGCAGCAATAGCTTCAATAAAGTCGAAAAGTGTCTACAAGGAAGCTAGTGCGACTCATCTTCGTACACATTTCGAATGAAAACCCTCCGTAGAGATACAGGACGCTCGAGTCCTTGAGGCGGGGGGGGGGGAGGGGAAAATCCAAAACAGGGCCGATGGTATGCAACACTGGACTAGGCCAGGAGAGGAGAGAAACGTTGGAGTGAACAAAGATTGCTCACATTCTCACCCAAACCCCTCCATAAAGACTTGGTCTCAAGGGTGCTATACAAGTGGGGTGGGCACGCCGAATTTTTAGAAAACAGAAATTTAT